ATTTGCACTAAGCAATTCCAGCTGTGCATGTTTCAGAGTAGAAAAGCAATTGGTCTGGGTGCAGATGGCTGGCAGCAGCTTTCTGAGTAAGCAGGCACTCCTTGCCACCTTCTGCTGGGCATATTTGGCTATCTCCAAATATTGGAGCTGGTGGGACACACAAAGCCCAGGTAGAGGTGCCTGAGTTGGTGCTTGGGAGAGTCAGAAAATACCCTCGCTGTGAGGTTGGACTGTAAAATCAGGGTCAGGTAATATCCTGTAATAAAGCAGCTTTTCCATGTGGGATGGGGTGTGCAGCAGCTTGGGGAGGGGAACAGGGAAGGATCTACAGGGGCTGCCCTCCTGCCATGCATGGCACAGGGAGGCATATGAAGCAGCATGTGGTGGCAGCATGGGCTGAGACCTGAGCTGCTTGTAGCTGATTGCTTTTCATCCTCTTGTGCTGGGAAATAGCTCTTTTATTTCAGTTCACTGTGGGATAATTTTATAGAAGTGAGGTCATGTGCAAAAAGGAGTAGCAGAAGAGGATTTGGGGTCCTCATTAAAATGTGAGGTAAAAGACAAAGAAATCACACCTGCTACATTTCTCTGGCTTTTTCCAAAACTTTAATAAAGTTTAAGGTCAACAAAAGAATGAAAGTTTGGGTTCTGAAGGCTGGCTCAGCTCTGCAGGCCAGAACAATGTCAGCTAGGTCATGAGGGGGCCCAGTTCTTCTCCCTGAGTGCAGGGACATGACAGGTCAGTAAGCTGTGCAGGAACTTGCTGGCTCCAAAGGCACTATCACTGCTCAGCAGCTGGGGCAGAGCAACCAATAAGTGATTGGAGGTCTAGAGGAGGTGTATCCAGCTTTCAGGACTATTGTGCATTTGAAGTCTGATCACTTGGTTCAGCTTACAACTCAATTTCCAACGATTGAGGTGTCTACTTCTCCCCTATTTATGATGGCTACAAGTAATAAAAAGGATTTCTTTTTCTCTATCAGCAACCAGGCTGAGAAGAGCTATGTGTATATATCCAAATGTTGGCCTTACAGCATAGGAACAGGTTAGTGATGAGGGACAGGAGCAGAGCCTGGGCAATGGGGCTCTGAGTTCACCAGCAGATTGCATTACACAGTGCTTACCACTGAGGGAGAAGTTTCCATGACAGGTCATGTTTTGTGTAAGAGACATAACCAAGAAGTGGTGGGCAAAGATTGCATACCCAGGACTTCTCCCAGACAATAGCAGAAATCACTAGGATGAAGTTTCATTTTCTCTTCCATTTTCTGTATGTGTCAATGAAGTGAAACTTCTTAGACTGCTGCTAACCGGACTTCTAGATGCCCTAGGGCCCAAAAGTGAGTGTGAATACCTCCTGGGGTCCAAGTCTGAAACCTTTCAGTCTGAGGGGACTGTTGTTTCTGGCCAGTCTGAGACACCTGTGAGACCACAGGATACAACCTCTTGTTTTTCCTCTTATTTAATGAACTACTTCCCTGCCCCAACTTTGTTTTCATTTGTGCTTCCCAACCCTTGATAATTATGCATGTGCCAAGTTATATCCTTTTAAGTACAACATCCTTTGGCTTTCAAAATTATCACATAAGCACACCAAGGGATGGATCTCTTCTGTCTTTGAAGGCTGCTTGTGGCCTTCTCCAAAGAATTCCATGTGCAGGCTATGTTTTGTGGTAGGTGGGGAGCAGACTTTTCACTCTCACCTGTGGAAGTTCAGTCTGAAGTTAAAGGGAACCATCAAGTTGGCTAATTCTATATTATCTTACTGCTTGAAAGCAACATGTAAACCCAAGATCTTGTAGCCAACCAGTATGGAATATTTTTTGAAGTACAAAAGCACTTACCTAACCTAATGTTCTCAGATCCAAAAAGTTCCTTTTTCCTGCAAAATACTGTGTCCTGTCCAACATGGACCCTATTGCCACAGGTAGAATCCTGCCCTTGTGCTGAGAAGATTGGTCTGCTCATGATTTTTTGAATCCAGGTGCAAAAGCCAAGCAGAGCCTTGTTCAGCAGAAACATCCACAGCAGCAGTTTATCTTCATCCTCTTGTCATAGTTCTGCCTCTGTTGTCTTCCTCTCCAAGTGATGAAAACACATTTTCCTAGGTCTGTTTGAAGGAGGTTGGTGTTGGAGATCTGACCTGCAGCAAAACTTATTTGATAACTTCAACAGTGTGAAGTGAACAGTTTCCCATCTGGGAAACTTTTCTACCAGTGGTACCAGTCTCACATGATGCTAGTTTTGTCCTTTCTGGTCATAACTGGACCAAGGTAACCCCAGAGAGCTTTCCTGATTTTGTTTTTTTCTGGCATTAGAGATACTACATGCCTGAGTAATGAGCCAGGAGTTCAAACCTGACAGGAATGTCCTAAATCTTTATCAGAGGAAGGGCTTGTAATCAAGCATGGTCTGCATCCCCATCCTGGTATTTTTGCTTGAGGAGTGGTCGTAGCTGAGGCTGCTGAAACCTTTGCTGTGATATTCTGGTGGAGGAGGCATCCATCCCTGAGGCTGCCCTGGCACCCTCCCCTGGCATTTGAGCGAGGGAGGTGTGCATTTCTGTGGTTGTTCTGACATGGAGAGGGAGCAGGGATTCATGTCCGAGATTTCTGGCTGGGGCCAGCTGTCCCTGACATGCTCACAGTGGGCAGGAGGGAAGGGAAGTCCCCTTGGACTGGCAGCCAGCTCTTTGCAGTTTGCTATCCCTGGACCTTCATTGAGGCGTCTTCATAGCCTGGGAAAAATTATGGACTGGAGGGAGTGATATTGTCCCTGCTTTGGAGATGGTTCAGGGACCCTCTGACAGAAAAGCAGTATTATTTAGCATTCCATTTTTAAGGTACTCCAGCATCCCGTAGTCCTTTCTTTATACCAGCTTATTCTTGTTTCTTTCTATAACACTACTTCGCTGTTTACAGCTTCCTAATGCCTTTGAGGTTCAGCATGAAGACACAAGGGGTAGCTCTCTGTGAAGCCAGAAAAATTTGTATATGTGCTTTCAAGATGCAAATTGTTTTTCTTACAGTGCCCCTGCATTAGATAGGGGTCTTTAAGTTGGGGATGCTTTTTACTTGTATGTCCTTAGAGACCAGCATAGCCATGAACGGAGGGAAGGCAAACGGGAACTGCTTCATCAGTTAAGCTACAAGAAATGGTGCAAGGATCCACATCCTGAGCAGCATCAGACACATTGCTCTCTACAATGTGGCTCAGTGCTCCAGATATGACAGCACAGCTGTGCTGCACAGCACAGGGCTGGTTGTCCTGACAGACCTGCTCTGTCAGCTGAGCCCAGGAACTGCCAAAACCACCCTGTGGCAGCCGTGTCAGCAGCTCCCGTGGTGCAGGAGGAATGTGCTCATCCATATTTAAGATCTGGGGCTGGGCCATGCCTGTCCTCTCCAGGGCTCAGCTGGTGGATCCCCTCCGGTCACCCACGGCTGGATCCGGGCTGGCACAGGGCTCGTGTGCAGGGGATGAGAGGCCTAATTTTAGATCAGGGAATGCAGCACTGGAAAGGTCACTGGATGGGACCCAACTGGCCCTCATGATGGCAGCAGCATCCTGTTTAGGCCTGGTGGAACTATCATGACCTCTTTTCACTGCAGTTGTTTTACCCCAACCCAGGTACCTCCCTGGCCCAGGGCTCTCTCCCTTGGGGACTCTCTTTTTGCCCAACAGGAAAAGCCACCCATAAACCCCCTATCACAAGGTGGTGGAAAGTACTGGAGGAAAGCACCCAGGAAACTGAAAAAGCTGTACTTCTCTTTGAGGTCTTGAAAGTGAAACACAGAGAAGTTCTTCTGTTTTGAACTTCCCTGTGAGTCCTCAAGGTTTGCCCCTTCCTATTTCTGGCCTCTCTCCTGTGGCATTATGCTCACGTGCCCAAGCAAACTTGGGCTTGATGAGTGGCACAGAGGGAAGTTTCCAGGGGAAATCCAAGTAGCCATGAGGGCAGCCTGTGTTTCAAGCCTCTGACTCAGTAAGGAGCTTATTGCTTGTATTTCACTGTTGAAATCAACAGAGCTGTTGCTGCCAAATTTACTGGCAGTAGAGAATAGCCCTTCATTTCTTTGTTAATCAGGACATATTTCTAAATGAGATTTACAGTTCTCCCAATGACTGAAATTCCCACTGATCATGTAATGAAATATTCCTTTTCTCAAAAAAAATCTGAGGAATCTTGTTGGATCTTCAGGGCAATAACCTTTTCTTTTGCCTTCCCTGCCTTGGCACAACCTGCATCATAGGGCTGGGTAAGGTGCTTTGCTCCTAGAATTTTTCCCAATAACACAGTGGCCAGACATGGATCCTTCCTAAACCACTTCCTAAATGGATGGAGTTGTCATAATTATTTTAAACATCACCTTTAGAGAAAAGAGGAAAATATCTAAAACAAATAAATATGAGTGCTGGATATGAAATCCAATGCTGCAATGCAAACTCAATAATTTGGATGCAGTATGTAAAGATTAGTCCCGTGTGTGTTTTTAACTCCTTCAGGCTTCTCTCTACCTGCATCAGGAAGAAGCTGCATCACTCATCAGAGGTTGAAAGGGCAGTTACGTGTTTTTTATTTAACTGAGGAAAATAATATTCCTTTGAGGGTTCTGTTTGATACACCCCATGCAAGCATTTTCCCAGAAATACAGCTGGAACAGCAACAATGCAATTCATTTTTCTTGCTGTGACTAAAACAATGGCATCTAAATCCACACACCAAGGCTGAAGGTCGACTGATTGCAGAGACATAGCAGTTCTTGTTTACAATGGATTGTGAATAACTTTGGGAAATGGAATAATACTGCTGTGAGTTGTCATGCCTGCCTACAGGCAGTTCTTTTAACTCAAGATTTTCTTGCTTTGGATGTTTAATAGAACATCTGCTTTGAATGTTTAATAGAACAATATTAGACATCCATCCAAGTATTCCTGCTCTATTGCAATGCAAAGAAATCCTCTTTTTTTTTTAATTAATTCACTTAGAAGACTCAATCTTGAGCTTTCTCACTATTTAATCACTTGCAAAAGACATTTTGGTGGAAGTGAGAAATCCCAGATCCAAGAGTCAGGGCTAAAAGCAGAGGAAATGGTGCATTCAGGTTCAGCCTCCTCCCTGCAGGCAGTGCTGAAATGTCACATGTGGAATTCCATGTGGTGCTTCTAAATAACAGCTCCTTCCCAAGCTTGCTGGGAGAACATCTTACCACAGGCAAATCCAGCCTGGCCTTTGGGCTGTTGTTTCTCTCCACGTCTGCTCACAGACAGTGCTCCCATCATCCTGGAGAATGCTCTTTGTTCCAGAGAGTGACTAACAGCTGCTTAGCAAGGCACAGCATGGATTCAGCCTTGAGATCACTGAGGGAAAGAGGCACCGTGGGCTTTTGCTGGTGCTTTGGAGGCTCAAGACCCGTTTGTTTGAAGAGCTCTCAAGATGAAAGCATGAGCAATTCATTCCTGCACTCTCGCAGGGGCTATGAGGGGAGGATGACGGTCCACGAGTGTATGACGTGCTTTTGGAGACAAAAGCCACCAGACTTTTGGCCTTATGCCTCCTCATGAATCCCTGATGATTAATTCCATTATTGCCTCTTACCCACTCAATGAGCTTCTATTCATAGCACAGTTCTTTCAGGAAATACTTTTCCCCCGAGTTTTGGAAAAAAGCATTGAAAAGTTGTGAGCTCCCTCACTCAGGAATGATCCCCAGCACTTTGTGCCTTGTTCAAGGTGCCTGACTTCTGTCATAAGTTTGATTTTCCCTTCATTTCAGTTCTGTCCATGATGTGCTTCACTACAAAGTGCTGTTGAATATGAGCCATCTGGTCTAATGAAAGGTGTCCCCATTCATGGCAGATGGATCAGAATGAGTTATCCCTGGCATCCCTTCCAATTCTCACCATTCTGTGATTCTGTGAAAGCCTCTGATGCTAGGGATGACATGCTGTCCTCAGCAGTCCAGCCCTGCCAGCAGTAATGGTGGTTTTGCTGCTAACTTGGATCTACTTACTTCAGTAGAAGCTGCTCTGTGCCTGACCCCTACAGAACATGGAGAGGAGCACATTCCTTCCCTTTTGCAGCCATTTTTTAACCAACTGAAAGACAAATACCACATCTGTGTTCTGTGCCTCCCCTGGAAGTACTTCCTTAGTCCATAGACAGAAAAATGTTGAAGGTCAGTGCTCTGCACTATCCAATATTAAGCAGAGCTTTCTTTCTCTGTGAATCCAATTTGTGAAATCATTCCTGTTTTCTGGGCTTTCTTCTGATTCTCAGCCTCTCTTTCCCAGCTGCTGTCCCAGTTTGCTGTCCCCTTCCCAGGGGCTGAGTGCAGCCTTTCTGCCTTCTGGCTTGGTTTGCTTTTTCTGCACTTGTGTAGCACTGTTCCAACAAAAGCAGTTCTGTCTCGCCTGATGCCAGTCTCCCCACAGTCCTGGGAATCAAGGCATAATCCTGCATCCTCTAATGAAGCCATGGCATGTCCTCAGTCCCGCACTCATTATGGAGCTCAGGCTATGGGCCTACTCGTGCTGCCAGGCACAATTTCATGCCTGGCCAAACATAAACTATGCCTGGTCAAATATCTTGGGACTTAGAGGCTCCCTTGAATCTGTAATTCACTCTTTCTGCCTCATTTAGCAAGAGCTACAATCTCTGTGCAGCTTGTAGGAAAGCCTTACACTGACAGTTCAAGATTTGAGGTATATGAAGATGCAGAAATACTACAACAGCCTTTTCCCAGAGTTTTGTCTGCCTTACATATTCTTTTCTGGGAAAATATTCTGATGGTGTGGTATGAATTTACAAACACAAATTGAAAGTACTGCATTGGAAGAGTATTAGAGGCCATTTGCAGTGCTCTGTGTGACAGGGATGAAGGCAGGCAGGCAAAGTTCATGTGCTCAGTGTCCTCAAGCTGGGACTGGAGAAAGTGGTAGTAATTTTTAAAAAGTTAATCCACTTTTAATCCCTATCAGTGTACATCAGTCTTCACCTTTTCCCAGTGTTGTCTTTTTGCTGTAACAGCTATACCAAATAGTTTAAATCAAAGCTCCAGCAACCTGACTGCTCTCTTGCTCAGGTTTTATGGGGGAGGTGGGCCAATCCCAGCAGTAACACATGGTGCCATTAGCAATATTACATAAAATTGCCCTCAAGGTATGGAAATGCACAGTTATCTGCCCAGTACCAAAGAACCAAAATGACTGACTGCCATTCATGGAGAATGATGCAAAATACAGAAGATAAATGTTTGCTAAACACTGGTACTTTGGAGAAGTGTGATATATAACTACTAAAGCAGTGAAGCCTAAAACTAATATGGCTTTACTTTTCAGCCATCCCTGAGATTATAATGCCCTGGCACCTCTTGTCATCCCAGCTGTGTATGCTGGAATGGTGTCACACCACATCACCCAGCCTGTAAAGTGGATGTAATATACCATTCCTCTTCTTACTGATCATCCTTAATATTTTAAACCAACTGAGAAATCCTTTCTGAAAGACACCACGTGACAGGGAACTAAACATTATAGTGGTGCTGCACTAAAAGGCTCTTTTCAGGAATATTTTGACATGTCAATTTATTGATTATGATCCCCTGCTGAGGGACAGCCTCCTGGGCATTCATTGCAATGTCTTGGTACTCTTCTTTTCTTGCTTCAAGTGAGTGTTTCCTATATCTTCCTTCCAGGAAAGAACAACTTCACAGAGCAAAATTGGTGAAATGGTGGCACTGCATGGTTGGTCTCAGAGGGCAAATGCCAGCTCATGCACCGTGGCTGCTGTCACTGGCCTTTGCTTTTCACCCCAAACCAGAAACAAACAGTATTGTGAAACATTAGAGACCTCTGAAACAAAAAACCCTATATTTCACCACCCACACAGCACTGTCAGCTGTGCCAGATCTGCCTCCCCCCCACATCCCAAATGCAACATTCACTCCTGAGAAGCAAAGTCTGGAGAGAGTTTGGCTTTTTCATTTAGTTTGACACTTTTGAGACAGCATTATTCACCAGAGATATACCTGCACGTAGTAGCAGATTTGGGGTAAAAGTGAGAAGTGTGTCCTGGAGGGAATGTAACTCCGTGCTGGGATAGGAATAGGGATGATGGTGTTTTTCTGCACAGAGAAACAACAAGCAGAAGGAATTAACAGGGTAATAATTGAGCCCTTTCCTACAAGAGCTGCATCTTCCACATTTCAAAGCCCTGGGAGGCCTTTCTTCTGTTTTTTTTTTGGAATGTGAAATATGGTTGTAATGAACACTGGGTCTTCCACAGAAGACAGCTGGTCAGCAGCAGCTCCTTTTGGAAAGCATATCTCTTGCTCATCTGGCTCCAGGGTCTGGTCTGCAGCCCAGATCGAGCATCCCCCTGCCCAGAGGCATCCCTGCTCCTCACCTATCCTGGAGCCCCTCTCCACTTGCACAACTGCTGGGGCAGGGCTGAACCACGGCCTTGCCATAATGGCATTAACCTTAAACTGGTTTGCTCAAGAGCAAGCAGCCGGAGAGCAGCAGCTCCCAGAGGAAGCTGGCTGTGTGCCTGCCACTCACTCACAGGATGCCAGGCTGCAGGATCTGAGTGTCCCAGGAGAGGCTGTGACAAAAGGCAGACCATTGTGCCCAGCTTTCCTCCATGACTTCAGGGGAGCAACTTGCTTTTATTAGGAAACGGAAACCGAGCACTTATCTAATCCCAGGGACCAGCAGCTGGAGCCCGAGGAAAGGCAGTTGCTTTGTGGAGGGTCTGCCAGTAAAAAATGAGATTGAAAACTCCAGTATACATTTAAATAATGCACTTGGGAAAATGCCACAGCTGCCTTGCATGAGATGCTTGGATGAGAGGTGCATACAGAGGGAAATTTCTGATGCACGAAATCTCTTGCTGAAGCTTCAGTGTCTCAAATCCTGCACTCCAGGAGTGCAGTTTTAGAAGTCTCAGACCTACCTTGCAAAAGTCAAAATCCTCTTTGTATCTCTCCCACTCAGTCAATCTTTCTAACAATAAATGTAAGTCTCTCAGCACTGATGCCCTTCCCTGCTGCTGGGAGGGGAAATGTAGCTCACAGACCCACGGGGGATGTAATCACAGGGCTCCCTGCTTACACCATGTCCCCAGGACAGGGGAAGGGAGCTCTGAAGTGTTCATGTGTTCTGCACACCTAGTGGGAAAATCAGATGATATTTTACTTCTCCATAGCAAATACAGTGAGTCATCAAGCTGAGGGTTTGTGGCAAATATCATGAAATATATTGAAGAATGATGCAGGGTAGAAATTTCTTCCAGGATTTCCTGCTTCAAGCTCTCAATTTATAACTGATATTTCAAAGCTATCTTTAGAAAAACACCTTATCTTGACTGTGGAGGTAACAAGTCTACCTTAGAAAAATTTTCATATGATGATTGTGAATTAAAGGTGCACTCTGTGCTTCTTTAGCCATCAGAACATTTCCCTTGGCCTGTCACCAGCACCTGCTGCTCACCCAGGCTGAAATTCATACTGGTGCAGCTCAAATCAAAGGAAACAAGAGATTGCTGATGCTGTAAGCTCTGTTGCCAGAAAAGATAGTGTTCAAGGCTATGCCATGTCCACATTTATAATTTTAATAGATCATAAACACATCTTTGTAAAGTCTTAGATTAAATCCTGTGGAGGGCAACCAAAAGGATAAATTGAATTAAATAAAATCAGATTTATACAGCTTTAGGCTGCTGAATGTCTCCTTCAGTCTCCCCTGCAGATGCTGGGGATCCTTTGTGGAGTTAAACCTATGGTGATCCATGCCCATCTATGGGATGATGCTGGTTTACACCAGATGAGGATCTCCTATGTAGCACTGTCTGTCCACCTCACACTTGGTTTCATACTGCAGTCAGATTGTAACAGATTTGTTAAAATGCATTTAAGCACACGAGAAAATGGACCAGAGGCATTTTCTTGGGTGGCACTTTCCCCAGGTCAAGGAGAACCTGGAGCCTCCCTCCACATGGCATATCCAATCCAGGCATGTCTGTACACGTGGGGATGTGATGGCATGAAGAGATCTTCAGTCCAACAGGAGTTTTGCAATGCAGCCCTCGACTGAGAAAAATCTGCTGAAATGCCAGAGGGGCCACGGGGGCCACCCTGGAGAGAAGAGTGTTCCATGTGCTGCGTGTCCTGGCCATGGGGTTTGGTTACCCAGTTTTCCTCCCCAGGCAGGTAGTGGTTTGTGGCCTCAGGTCACAGCGTCATGACCTTGTGTCCTGCCATCTCAGCCTGCTGGTTTGTGGGGGAGGAAATAAAACTTGGATGCTACCACATCCCTGCCCAAGCTCTGCCCCTCGGTTGCTCATGGGCACTAATTATGAGGGAGGCTCTTGCTCTGCTGCTGTATAATTGTGCAGAGCACAGTCCAAGCCTTAATATAGCACTGAGGCCTTAATATAGCTCTGATGGAACCGCTTTTGATTTTTGATTTTTTTTCTTTTATGTTCTTTGAAAATACATTCAGTCTTGTACCAAAGAGTGGAACAGCCTCCTAGCAATAGAATCCATATGGAACATGAGGTGGACACTGTGCCCAGGCTGGAGCTGCTGCCCAGGAACTCTTACAGGAGATTGGTGTCTTGGTGCATCTGTTGCCTTTGGGTTCTGAACTTGGGGTACAAGTTCAGGAAACTACTCCTTTCTCCACAGCAGTCAACAATTTGGGTTTGCAGAGGAGTAGGGGGTGTTAACAGATTTTGGATCATGTGTAGAGGCAGTGTAGGAGGAGGCAGGATGCTGACTTTGGTGCTGTGTTAGAAGCAGCTGATGACTACTGGAACATCAATTTCAGCGAAGAGTGTGCTGCCCTCCCCTCTGTGTGAGCTCTCCTGTGCATGGCGCACTTGCCGAAAAATCGCCGCTCTTCTGGCACGGCCCAGCCCCCGGAGTGCCAGGATGGCCTGGACGTGCTCCTTCCTGCAGAAACCAAACGAGAGCTGGCTCAGATCTGACCAACAAAACCAGGCCAGAGGTGAGTAAGTGACAGCTGAGCTGGAGACACAGCAAGGCTATAGCAAAGTGCCAGGGACTGACCCCTCACCACAACTGGAGGAGCCACCAGGATGGGAGTCTGCAGCCTCTGGATGTCCCAAACCAGCGAGCAGCAGCTCCTGCCACACCACACTGCTGGGACACCCTCCTGCTGCTGGTGCCTCAGGGAATTTCCTCCTCTCTCTCCACACCGGTGATGCCCTTTGTGTGTTTTCCAGAGAGGCTGTGGACCTTTTGTGTAATGATTATTTTGAGATGAGTAATGGAAGTGCTAATATTTAGGAAGCTGATAGGCACTAATTAGATTTGAGCTGGAAAGCCAACTTGGAAACATACCCTATTCCAGTAATCTCAGTGTATACAAATTAAGAGATGTCTGTAAGAGCTCAGGGGAAAAATCAACAGGGACCTGAACAGGAAGCAATGCAGGTCCAGCAGGTTCCGCCTCATTTTCCAAACTTCATTGTTAAAAATGATGTTACTCAATAATGGAAAATCAGAAATTAAATAAACCAAAAGGACAGGCATTAAAACCTGGCTTGAGTCTGAGGCTAATGATGAAAAAGCACCACAAAAAGCCTTGTAAATGGCTTTTCTGACTGGAAAATGGTTTTCAAATATCCATCACTGATAACTAGCCATCATTTACCTCCCTCATCCTTTCCAGAGCAAGCACTGCCTCTTTTTCAGCTTAGCCTGGCTACTGGGATTAAACCCTTATGGGGTTTATTTATTTGTTTGGTTTTGTTTGGTTTTATTGTTTGTCAGGATATTTTTGTAAGATAGGTATGTTCACCTAGGAAATTACTTAGGAGCAATTGTTCCTTTACATGTCCATGTCTTGAATTCCCCCACACAGACACATCTGAAGAATATCTGAACCACCTAAGTAAAATCTAGTTATGAGAAATTTTGAACCTCAGTTTTGGGGAGAGGTGAATGATCTTTTTTCTCAATATTTGAGGATCCACTTCAGTATTCTAGCAATTAGTTAAATATTATGTATTATTTTGATTGCATAAATGTCATTCAGTGCTGAAACTTTAAGGTTTTTTTCTGAAATTACTCCGATGAAATGGAATTTTTTGCAATCTGTACCACTGATATTCATTCTCAGTGGTAAAAGAAGAGCTGTAGAAGAGAAGGTAACTTCTGATTTGCAGCTGCTTAGCCATGCACAGAGCTAGTCACTTTCTTTACTTTTCCAGGAGTTTTAAATTTTCCAGATGCAGCCTTGGAACAGCAAATGGAAAGTACAAAAGAAAGAATTTGTAATTTATTCCAAAATGTAATGATTGTGTTGAGGCCGTTTCAGAAACTGCAGCTGAACCGTATCAATGGCTGCCACACTTTGAGGTCTGAGCCTGGGAACAGGCTCAGACAAATTCTTTGCTCCAAATCTGGAGCCTACAAATTGGCAAACAGGGCTGATATTGGTGATGCAGTGGAAAGCAAACTGGAGCTTTGCTGTGAAGTAAGGTTCATTTAGAGCAATAAAATGGAATTCAGTAATAGAATGCATGGGAATGGTTCAAAACTGTGTCAGGGGAGCTCTAGACTTGACATTAGGAAGCATTTTTTTAATGAGGTGCTGGAGCAGGCTTCCTAGAGAGGTAGTTGAGGTCCCAAGCATGTCAGTGCTCAAGAGGCATTTGGACGATGGCCTTAGTAATTTACATTAACTTTTGGTCAGGCCTGAAGTGATCAGGAAGTGGATTATCAATGTAAGTCCCTCCCAATAGACTGAAATAGTCCCATTCCATTCTAAAACGAAAATACTTTGAAGGTAATTTGTGCACATTATAAGATACAGCACACAGGGGGAAAAAAGAAAAAGTATGCAGCCATAAAGGGAGAAAACAAAGCTGAGATTCCCACTGTTGCTGGCATCCTAAACTCTAACGTGTGGCCACCAACAATGAGAAGCTGAAGAGCTTGGCCCAGGCACAGGACAAGTTGGTGGTTTTTGGGATGGAGCCCAACAGTTCTGGTATCTGCTGCTTCATGTACCTGATATCTGGATAGTCCTGGCACAGCTCCTTGACATAGGCTTTGATCTTGTCTTTTTTCTTCTCCCCAATGATATTGGCAATGTGACTGATGGCAGGGAGGAGCCAGTCAGCGTCAGAGCCCTGTGGACAAACAATCACATGGGGGCATCAGGGACAGCAGCACCTGCTAAATGCCTTTTTCCCTGCAGCAAGAGCATGGCAGCAGGGTGTATTTGCTGGTGTGAGCTAGGACTGGTGCAGGCAGGACAGGCAGCCTTGGGCAGGCAGCAGGGTGCAGGGTGGCAATGGCAAGGCACCCCTGGGAGCTCTCCCAGGCCTGACCCTGCACTTCCCAATGCCCAAGCAAGCCAGACCCTGAGCAGGGTATTGTGGCTGTGGTCCAGGATAGCAGCAGATGCCAGAGACTTCAGCTCCTGCTGCCTGATAATTTCATGTGCCTCAGCTCTGAGATGGGATTTAGTGCCCTGGATGCCTGACTTTCCACAAAATCCAATTAATTCAACTTTGACTTACCAAAAATCCCAGACTGCTGTTGCTGTGAGAGACAGAAATGTTAAAGGTTGGTGACTGAACCAACTGCAACCATTGTTTTGACCAACAGACGCCTAAACTGCAACAATCAAGTGTTTTTGCTGGTCCACAGGAGGTGATACCTTTCCTCTCTGCTATCTGCTCTTATCCTTTCTTTCTTTTCCTTATATATTTTCTTAAGTGATATTTTTATACTTTTATATTGTTATATTACTATAGGTAATAATCAAAATGACTACATACCTATTTTCCATTGTAATAAAATTGTTTTAAAATAAACCAGCCGTACACACACACACAGATCTCTCTCTATCTCTCTCTCTCTCCATCTATATATCTCACTCCAGTCACTCAGTATTGTGCCACTCTTATCTAGCCCAAGAGATTTATTAACAGGAACCTCAGTTACCTCCCTTCAGGGATGGGTTGTAACAGTTGTCCAGTCACAAAACACTCAAGACTGTCACCACTTTCTCCCCACACCCTGCTGTACACAGAGTGTGTAGCCAGATGGAACATCTCATGGGACTCAACTCCATGAGCTGTAACCAGGGCAGGGATCCTTTGGTGACAAAATGCATCCCATGGCTTGAGGAAAGAGGCCCTGGAAGAAGCTGTCACAGGACGAGTGTGATCCTACAGCACATGAACCACCCTATGCAAAGCTCCCTGGGAACGTGTTAAAACACCAGGTGCTGCCATCAGAGAGCTGCTGGCTGAACATGCACAAGCTGCCAATGCAAGGAGGCTGCCAGGCTGGAAACCCACACCTGCAGTAAACACCTTGCTCGCTCTCTTTTCAGCACTTCTATATTTCTTGAGGCTTGTCCTCCTCAAGAGCTTGTTGCCTGGTCTCTGTGAAGCCAAGTGGGAAAATTGCACCTCTGGGAGTGGGGCAATCAGGGGATGTCAGGAGACAACTCACATACCTGATCAATGAGTGTATTGTGAATGATTGAAGCTTCCCGGCTCATCTTTCTGCTCACTTCCTGACGTGTGTCCCTGTTCATTTTCCATCTGGGTTTGATGACCTGTGTGACATATTCCTTCACCACGTATTTATGAACTTCATGCAGAAGCTCCTGGTTAAAAAGAAGCAAACCTCATGGGGTTTTTTTGTCCATTCAAGGCCAAGGCAATGAGAGAGGGCAGGGAAAGCCCTCAGGTCTTTGGCAGCACCTGAAGGCATAGATGAGGTACAGGAAGGCAGCACACCATCAGCACACACCCCCTCGAATCTGCAGCCCCCACAGTTCTAAAGAGCAACCACTGTTGCAGAGGAGTTTGCAGGTCTTACCACAGCCTGAAAATTATGGTGTGGCCTCTCAGCATCCCTGTGCCCAGGTGTGGGACTGGCTGCCTACCTGCCCCAGGGGCTCCCTCATGTGCTGCAGGTGCTTGGAGAACTGCGAGACTGCCAACGCCAGCGAGTCTGGCCTTTCCGTCGCCAAAATCCAGTTCTTGGTCAGAATTTTCTTAAGAAGTGGCTGAAAAAAGACCAACTCACTGAAGGCACAGGTATATCCAGAGTAGATGATGATGCCATAGCTGAAGGCAGCCAGCTATACACCTGACCTCAGGCTGGATTTTTCTCTCCACCCCAGGGAATTCACACCCATGTCTCCCCTTCCTGGGTAGGCATCCCAATGCAGAGAGGAGAAGCATCACGCCCTGAGCAGGATATGTTTTGGTATTAAAGGCTTATTTGGGATATCTCATTTCCTTGCTCTGTGCCACCTTCTGATCCACCAATTCTATTTCTTTAGGTAAATAAATTTGTTTCTCTAGTGTATTGGGGAAGAAAGAGATGAGAATATTAATCACAAGCAACTCAGGCATGACTAGAACAGGCTGTGGTGGGCAATGTATGTCAGTGTTACATGGGTTTGCACCAGCTTTGGAAACGAGAAGTAACTTGGTAATGAATCTGTTGGAAATTAGCCCAATAATCCATCACCTCGACAGCCTTCTCCATAAGAAAATCAAGCTTTTTGTGTTCACAGCCCTCCCAGGAGGCTGTGTGTACTCCTGCAGACCTGTATGAAGTCTTGCTGGGATTTTCCTTCTGCTCCTTGCTCTGATGTGGTGGTGGGAGGAATGGCAGCTGGGAGCATCTCCAGCTTTATGCCTCATGGTTAGTGATGACATGGGAGTGATGGCACTGTTTCCCATCTGTCCTGGGTACAAAGTAACTCCGACCAAGTATCCTTAACAGGTTATTTTCCTTTGCTGGGTCCCTAGAGCTAATGAACCTTCATATAAAACCAGCAATATCTGCTAAACACTTCTGGCACCTGGAAGAGACTTCTCTAAAGGCCAAATGCAAAACATCCTTCCTCTGGCATGTTCACTTTTCTCTTCCTAGCTCTCATGATCTCTGTCTTTAGACTCCTGGCAATCTCCTTCCTAATTATCTCTCCCTTTGCTGTGCTCCCAGCCTGCTGGAGAGCTGTTTACAAATGCTTTGACTCGGCCTCTCTCGGTTCTCACGACATCTCAGCTCTCTTGCTCAACGCTTTGGCTCGGGGCCTTTCCTCGCCTGCTGCTTAGGCTCCAAGACAAGATCTGCAGTCACTGGAAAGTCCCCTTGGCTTAGGTTGGAGAAGTTCTGTGACTGTCTTGGTTTCTGGAAGTTATGTTTGGGGATTTAGAAACTGAATTAGGATAAGTGAAAAGGGATGGGACCAAAGGCTTGAGTTCTCCATCTCCTCTGTAATACCAGCTGGAGCTAGCAGAACCCAACTGGCTGAGAGCAGAAAGGCTCATCTACAGCACCTGAGAAGCACAAACTCCATTGTAGGACGTTGCCTTTTAGGCCTCTTAACACAAGTCAAATTTTATCAGAGTTTCATTAGTTGATACAGGACCTTTAGCATCCTCACTCTGGAAAAATCTTTTGTCACCATGGGAACAGCCTGGAAAAACCACCCCTACCAGAATGAATTCTATCCTATCCGAAGAGGTTTCTGAGAGATTGTAATGGTAGGTTCTATGAATCAATAAGTAAAAGTCCTGAAAAATCCAAATGATTTGATAGAAGGAAAACTGTCCCATTGGTGTTCAGCTGTCCTCTCCAGCTCTCTCACTTTGGATAAGATTTTCCCCACTGCTTTGCCTGAGAGACTGGAAGCTCCTAAATATCCTTTTCTTTTGGTTGCTATTAACAGCTTGAAAAATGTATCATTGCTCATAGCAAAAAATTCCCAGGATGCTGGAAATGTTGCTTTTTAAGGGGGATTTCCACAAGTGTTAAATGCATTTTGGAGGGACCATAATGTCATGTGCTGCAAAATGAGGTTTAGGTGGTGAGACAAGGGAAGGGCAATGACCCACAGCTGCTGCACATAACCCTTGTATTGAGGAAATAATGTGGCCAAGATCCTCTTACCTGTGCTTTTGTTCTTAATTTTGTTAAAAAAATGTTTGTGAAGTTCCTTGTCAGAGTTGCCAGAATCTTCTGCAGTTCTTCAGTATTGACTTTAAATGCTGTTTCTAACCCTGACCTACAGAGAGATAGAGATCACCAGTGAGTTAATGTTAAAATGTAAACCATGACACAGCACTTAGCATGTTTTCTGGATTGGCATGTTGGATATTATTTTTAAATAAACTTGCGTTTCTACTACTTCCTCTTGGAAACACTTACTGAGCCAAAGTAATGGCTCATTTTGCACAATCCTGTGCACTGAAAATTAATCATAGATGAGTAACTGTGGTTAAAAACCCCTTCAGATTTCCTCATCAGGTGGGACAGTGCAGCCATGCGGAGCAGTTGTGTAGGAGCAACACCTCTGCTAAATGATTTCCAGGTACCTGGGGGAGAACTGAGGGCTGTGAGGGAAAAGTAAATAATAAAGCCAGAGAAGGGAAAGCTCCTTTTGTCCTCCAGAGCCTGTCTGATTCACTCCACACAATGTCTATCAGCAGCAGCTGGGATGGTAACTATGTGGATGGAAACTTGTGGAATTTCCTAAGGACAGTGCATACTTGTGCAATGTTTTACCTTATGAGAAAGAAAATTTCTGAGAGGTCAATGAAATTCCCTGTGTGTGAGTGTGTGTTTGCTTTAGAGGCATTGTGACTTCCTGGCTTTCGTCTCACTTTCCATCCCTGTCCCACTGTAACATGCTCAGTGTTGGTGAGGGAGGGAACTGAGGCAGCACCACCACCGAAAAAGGCATCACCAGTGATGCCTGAGCATCCCTGGATGTGCCACATCCACTGCTGTAAACACAGAGAACAGCAGGTTCCTGTCACTGCCCAGATTTATATGTCTGAGGCTGCCCTGGCAGGACTATAAAGCATCCAACACCATCCCCGTCATCCCAGGCTGGAGCTCAGGACTGTAACTCTGGTTGAACACCTGAAGTCTGGGTCCAGCATCCAAAAAATCCTGCTGTTAGGACACCTACCTCTGCCCCACAACTCATCACCCCAGCTGATGCATGTTTAATTTGACTCAGGAATACACCGATCACCCAAACACTGCCAGCTCCCTGCCTGGGGCTGGCGTCTCCCTTCACCCCCTCTCCATTGCCCAGCAGGGAAGGGGCAGCAGTGTCCCGCAGGGCAGCAGGAGGCAGGGAAAGCCATTTCCTCGGCGAGGCGAGCATTGCTGGAGAGACCGTGCCATCTAGAGCCTTCCCGGCGGTAGTGCTCGCTGCGGCGGGAGCCGTCCGCTCCTGGGAGACACCGCACGAAATCCCCTCCATCCCCTGAACAGCACTTGGCATGTCCATCCCTGCCGGAGCGGGGCAGCAGCAGGGGCTGGAAATCACAACCCAATCTTTCTGGTGGCCAGAGCCCACTCACTAGTCCTGTGGTGTTTGCCGGGTTGACAAACAAAAGCACCACATCTGCATGGCAAAGATGTCCCCACATGCTGATGAGCCCGGGGACCTCAGCACAGGCCTGATGGACCAGAGCCGGGGACATGCACTCACTGGCACCATTCCACTTATGGGGTGAGGGATAGATCTTTGGCAGTCAGTCTGATGACACCTGTTCATCAGAGGCACTTTCTAACACGTGGCTTGAAGTAACTAATTCATGCAAAGCCCTGTAAGTTCCAGATGCCAGCACCAATGGCAGGCATTTATTTTTGGGTTGAGTGCTTTAATTGAATTTTCTTCAGCCCAGTGCCAAAGGCAGCCTTGAGGGCATGTTTCTGAATTTATTTTGCTAACCTCCAGAACAAAAAAAACAAATGAAAAAAATAACTCCCCTGAGGATGAAAAAGATGCTCTGAAAATGAGTTCAAAACTCTCATGCAAGCACTGCATCCATCCATATTTCTGTCCCTTCACTCTTGTGGCTTTTATTTGCATCCCCTGAGGAAAACCCTCCTGTGAGATTAGAAGGGCTCGAGGCTGAGCACCCACAGAGTCACTAATGGAGAGCTTGGTCTTTCCTTTCCAGATCCTGCCACCCTCCCAGACCCCAGAAACGCAGCAGTTCAGCACGAAGGGAGCAGACTTACATCAGGTCATGGAAGCTGTTGATGTAGGCAACAAGATAGGGCACAAACATGGGGCTGTCCTGGGCAGTGCTCCACGCCATGAACTCCTGCTCAAACCTGTAGGAAAATACACCCAGGTAACGTTAACGGTGGGAGCACCGAGAATGCCTCATCTTCTGTGTGCATGGTGCTGTCAGGAAACACCTATGGCTGGCCCAACCTGTCCCCTCTGTATGCAGACAAATTTTTTCCAGCTGTCACAACTTGTGTGTGCAGTGGAGGGGAATAGATGGCGGATAATTACGGGTTTAGGATGCGCTCGCCTGAGCAGGTACGCAGCACTTTTGGAGAGACGCCAGGGATGTTGGGAGGCCAAATCTCTGACTTTTCCTCACGCTGAGGGTTTAATTGCAGGTGTGGCACACAGGCTTAGAAGTCTGAGCCTTCATTCTCTGGCTTTTGGGGCAATACATTATGTGCCTTTTAAGCACACAGGGCTGATTTTATAACAGAAGATGTATAGGAGCAGGGCAGCACACCTACCTTCCCTCCCCCCAAAACCTCAGTGTGGTTGTTAGGTAGTTGTTTTTTGTGTAGCACCAATTTCATGGGGCTGACAGCTTTTTCACAGCCAGGTCCTTGCTGAAGGCAGGAGGCTGTGTGCTCAGGCAGGCTTTGCCTGGTGGTCCCATTCTTTGTCAGGGTAAAGGAACCTGCTTGAGCTGGCCCCAGCCACTTGCATCTCAGGTTTGTTTAAGTAAAAGCTTAAGTTTCAGTGTTCCCTTAATCTGAGAGCCCTGGCGGCTCCAGCTTGCATTTCACAAAGTTAAAAAAAAAAGAAAAAACCACAAAACCAAAACAAACAAACAAACAACAACAACAACAACAAAACAACAACCAAGCAATAAAAAAAGAAAGAAAAGGGGGGATAAAAAAGAAAATAACAAAGAAGAGAACAAAGAAAAGGGAAAGAAGAACAAAAAAAAAACATTATTCAGCAATTTCCTTTGGACACCGGATAAATTTTAAGGGATTCATGAGGCAGCTCAGCTGTGTGTTATAGCAGAGAGAGACTCATCAGCCATTTTTTATGCCCATAGCCATGGGATGCCAGAGAAAACCACTCAGCAGGACTCATCCCACAATACCTAGATGATGTTTTGAGCAAACAGGCTTTTGGTCTGAGGGGTCCATAACCACTGCTTGCTCATGACTGAAGCTGCAAGTGACCAGTATCCAATGTAAAAAAGTCCTGGGTGGATGGGACTGCAGTGGTCCCATCCCTTTCCAGATAGCAGCTACTTCCCAGAGCTCTGACATTGGATTTTTGGACTCACAGAGTCCTATCTGGGTCTGTTTATGACTCTCCCCAAGTTGTTTTGCAGCATGCTTATTACTGAGGTCATTGTGATCTCTAATTCTCCCAGGAGCAGCCTTGTGCCTGCTCAGTGCCACTATCTGGTCCAGTGCCTGGACCTTTTTCCTGTTTTTTTACCAGTGTGGGACTCATTTATAAAGAAAGTGCTACTCAGAGCAGTGATGACCTTGATATGAATTCAAGCAGCTCTGCCATGCATAACTCGAGCATTTTTGTTTCCAAGCTTCTGCTGATAGCTCCAGATAACTTCACGTGCTGCCCGATGATCTAGAAAAGGGAATGAAGAAACTCCAGTGAGTGGGACAAGCACTGGTGAAACATCCTTCACAAGGATCTCATGCAGCTTTGGTTGGTAAGAATGGCTCACCTAGCAAAGGGGCAAACAACCAGCTTGTTGCCAGGAGGTTTTCGTTAATCTCTGTCAGTTTTAAAAATCATCATGCAGAATGAGCCAGAAAGCCCCAAAGGATTTGTGATGTAATCATGCACCCCTAATGGTGTCATGCCCTTCTGCTGTCTGAGTGTGAGTTACAGGCGGTATTGGCTGGAGCTCTGAGGTGTCCCACTGTCATCCTCCTCTTTTGGGGGGAATTGCTGGAGGGATCAACCCCCAACTCAAAGCCCAAGGGGAGCAGAGCTGTCCCTGTGTATGACCCCATGACAGGGGTGACTATAAACCCCATCCCTGAGGGCCCACAAGCCCCCTTCTCAGGAGTGATACCAGGGCAGCACAGAGGGCCAGGCATCACCCTGAACTCTTGTCTGCACTGGAACTCCTCCCACACTCCCATTCCCACAACCCCAGCTACACTTCTGGACTGAGGTGTGTTGCAGTCCTACTCTGGTACTTCCCACAGCATCCTATCCATTTGCTAAATCAATTCAGATCTGACTTCCCTGTGATCACATAATGTGTAATATTCCTGTATGGAAAAAGAGTCACATCAGCAGGCAAAACTCTTTGATTTTCTTTCTTTCTCTCTCTCTCTCTTTCTGTTAGTTTTATTTAATTGAAGTGACTCAACCAGTTGAGTGATGAGAATTAATCCAGACCCCTCCTGCCTTTATTACCCAGTAGTCTCTAAAGCTAGTAGGGGCTTTTGTTTTTTGTACTGTGTAAATTGGAGTGGCTGTCACTGCCTACAGCCTTTCCCCAGCTTTCACAGCCGTGGGACAAAGTTGCTTTTTAAGCCAACGGTTTTTTCAAAGAAACCTTTTCTTTCCACCCTTTTCCCAATTCTCTTTCTTCTTCCTAATCAAAGAGGTTTAGGGACTTTAAAATCAGTTGCCTATTATGTTGCTGACACAATTGACAGCAGGTTTAATTTGCAGCTAGAAGGCAAGCGGGAGAGCTAAAAGTTGTAATAAACGGCATTTTCTGCTCTAATGTATTCTGCCAGTGTGTGACTTACATAAATTATCACAGGAGGCGGTACCTCCACCCCAGAAGGAAACGGTCCCGTTTCCCTGGAGTCACAGAGACTCCCCCTCTCCCTTCCTCCCCACTTTCCCCCAGCTAATGAAATACCGTTTGAATATCAAAAGAGAGTGAGTCGTGGTAGAGGTTTTCCTTCTCTTCTGAATGAACTTCCTTCTCCCACTTCTCCGTGACCTCTAGTCTCAGGATGTTTCCAAAATAACTTTTGATTTTCCCCTAAATGTTAAACATAGGAAGGAAACATGCAGCTCAGGGTAATGAAGAAAACACGAGTACAGCCCCTCTATGCATTTTGCTCCATCAGCACGTGGGTATGGCATGGAAAGGTGAACAGGGTCACAGACCTTGCTCCAGACCTCAGGAGAATCAGGAGCTGTGCTATGTGTGTGCAAAGTACTCCCAAAGCAGAGAGTCATTCTCCTGGCAGGAAACAGTGGGTCAGCTGTTTGTTTGATTGCAAAGTCCTCCAGCCCATGGAATGCACCAGATCAGGATTAAAGATCAAACCAGTCCTTTCCTGGGTACAGCCAGCAGGTAAGCAGCAGCACTGTTTAGTCCTGGCTGATAAATCAATCTTGTTGCTGGTGAAACAAAGTGATCTTTCACCAGCAAGTTGGAGCAATATTGATTTCATTCAGCTGGGTACCTTGAGCTCACCTTGTGCTGTGCCCTGATTCAGAAATGATTTGCAAGAAAATGTCTGAGCCCAGCAAAGAGCCAGGAAAGTCTTGCACAGGGTTCCAGACAAGGATTGCAGAAAGGCAACTAGGAAGTGGCTTCATCAGAGGACACAAACCATGAGTCTGTTCTCTGGTGGGGATGCCTGAAGTCTGCCAATAGCAAACCTCATATGTGCTGGAGGAGATCCCACACAGTGACAGTGGCAAATAAAATGCCTTTGCCCCTAACTTTGCAATGTGTACAATCTGCTGAAGCCCAGCTACGACCTTCCAGTAAGTGTCTGCTGTACTGAGTGGGTTTGGTACAGTCCTGTTGGCTCTGCTTGGGTCCCCAAAATGGTATTCAGGACTTTTTTGCTTTAGAGTACAGGCCACTCTATGTGGGGCCAGTAGGACTCAGCACCTGGTGGGGCTGGAAACCACAATGCAGTCATCCAAGCCCTCTGTCTGGGAGGCTGGGGCTCCTGTATATTCCCTAGGGGGCATGTGGGGATTAGGTCAAAACTCTCACCTTTGCAGAAGCAATGTAGTCGTTTTTCAGTTTATCCCAATCAGCTGGTGTTAACAGCAAGGACAGGTTTTCTGTCTTAACCTCTGGTTTGAGCTCAGGATGACCCAGAAAGAGTTCACTGGAAAGAATCAAATTAACAAATTATAATGCCTCAGAATGTGAATAAACTGATGGAATATTCATGCAGCATGAGCTACATAATTATTAAGCCATGAGAAATATACTTAAAGCTTAAATTGTGCTGCTTGTTTTCAAGGTTTAACAAGAAAAATCTTTCCTTTCTATTCAAAATCGTAATTATTCAAACCCAAAATGATCTAAGGTTCCAGCCCACTTCAGAAATCATGAGACTTCTGAGTTGTTTGGACATGAAAAGTGCTATGAGAATTTACTTTTTAAAATAAACAATGTGAAGCTGATTCATTCAACTAGAAGCTTGCAAAATGCCTTTCAGGGTAATTCCTGTAGTAGCGCGTTGCTTTGGAGTTAGCCCATCTCCCTGCCTCCTCTGCAGTGTCATATCACAGCTCGTGTCAGCCTGTGATTTGTCTCTGTGCCTTGTCCTGATGCAGGGGAGGTGGCAGAGCAGGACGGGGAAGGCATTCCCATGCCAGGGACACGAGCCATGCTCCCCTGCACATGGAAGGGGACGTGCAGCTACAGGGTCTGGCTCCAAAGAGAGCTCAGCTGACACCAGACTTTGCTGCTCACTTTCCTCTGGACTGGCATGTAATCAGGCCAGCTGATTAGCACAGAAGCAGGGGAAGGGAGGGAGTGCCTGTGTTCCTCTCTCTGGGGCAGGAAAAATATTATTAGCCTGTACAATTGAATGTGCTACTCCTGCAACCTGCCACAGACTGTGGCAGGCACTGCATCTTGCAGGGGAGAGAAGGCGGAAGAGAGAAAGAAGAAAATATTCATGCACTTGATGAAGGTGGGGCCTAAGTTTTGAGCTGCTATCTTGTTAATCAGGGAACACAACTGCCATGTCCTATACACAGCCTGCACATATGCTCAGGCACCAAAAAGGGTTCCCATTGCCCCACCAGCACTGCACTCACAGTTAGGTTCAGATACAAGTGAGGACTGTAATGTACAAGGTCAAACTGCTGCAGAGTGACTGCTCAGCAGAAAATAACTTCAGTCTGCTGATAGTGTCCTGGAGTCAATATTTCCATGGTCATGGTTCAGATTTCCTAGAGAGGAACATCTCTACATGGGGAGCATTGCACAACCCAGCTGCTGCCAGGGTCTACTGCTCATTCTAAAGCACAACATAGATTTAAGTATGGACTCTCCACCACAGCTGAAAGGACAGCCTCAAATGTGTACTCCAGGACCTTATTCCCACCTCTTTCTTTTTTCTTTTTTTTTTTTTTTTATTTGTTTGAACTGTAACATCAATAATGAGTTTGGGTCAGTCTCTTCCTTTTTGATTATTTATTCCAAGAGACAATGAAGTTTTTTTGAATGGGAAAATCAAATGGAAGCAGCATAAAACAAACAGGTGATTGCAAACAGTGCCCAAAACAACAGCAAACTCTCAATAAACCCATTCACAGCAATTTAGAGAAATATGGCAGGGGCACTTTTTTTTGGTACAGAACCTGACTGCTGAAGTTCATTTCTTTCCTTGCTCACCTGCAATGCCAGAGTGGGACCATGCAGGAATTTCCCTTCAGATGAGACCTGCAGGGATTTGTGATGATGAGGGGGTTACATACATCATTATGGTCACCACACTCTAGGTGGGGTTTTAAGAGCAGAACTGGGTAAGTTCACAGAAGAAACCTGTTGAGGGCTGCTCAAAACAAAAACCACCCGCAGTGCAAATGTTTCTTACTCAAAAGCTACCACAGGCTAGGGGTGTTCTGAGCAACAGTGTTCTGCTCCTTGCCCTGCTGTGCCATTGCCCCCTTTCTGGCCATTTTAACCCACTGTTTGGCTCAGTGCTGATACTCCTGCCTTCAATCCTTCTTTGTTTTATTTGAGGGCTGCCAATGGGTTTGTGTTTGTCCCTTCCTTGAACATCTGGTTCAGGCCATACCTGGAGGCCAGCTACCAGGGCAGACACATTTTTGCTTTGGCATAACTGTTTCACATGCTTATTTTCCAGACCCCTGAACTGCGAAGAGCTATGTCTTAAAGCCCTCCCATTCAACCAGTGGACACATCTGAGACAGAACCTTTGTTTTCATGTCTCTAATTACCCTCCATGATGTCTTGACTCCTCTTCAAGACAACTCTGACCCATGCATGGGGTTAACGTGGCCCATCACAATTTTAATTAAACAGGAAGAAGGCCTCCCCCATAGGCCCCTGCCTGTGCCTGGAAAAGTCTCTGAAATAGCTGTTGGATCTTGCAAAATATATGCAGAAAGGAGCAGGTTTATCAGAGTAGGTTTATCAAATGCAGGGAGGAGCTTCCTGGCATGTGGAAACAGCAAGTGGGAGAGGCAGGGGGAAACGGGGTGATGTAGATCTGTAAAAAGCAGCAAGTGCTTTATCCACAGACCTTTGCCCCCACCTATTAATAGATTTGCTATCTGGCTCCACTGTAGTCACTGCATCTCACTTGCTTGCTTGGAAAACTGAGAATGGCTTGGTGCTTTTGGACTACCCCACAGCCCCATGGCTCCCTGGAGGAGGCAGAGGTACTGTGGCAAACACAGCAGCTCACCTGTGGTAGGTGTTGGCCACCCAGTCAAGCAAGGTGTAGAGCTCGTGGAAGTCCAGTGGTCCCTGGGAGAGTTCTTGCAAATGTGAGGCAATGGCATTGTGAAAAGCTTCCACATATGTGTCACACACCTGGTACTCCTCTGGATAGCATTTTTTTACCGATGACTTGATTTTCAGTAAATCTGCCCTCAGGTTTTCCTGGAGGAAATGTAAGTGGCGATCAAGCCATGAAGTTGCTTCTTCCCTTGATGCCATGGGTGCCATCAGGACTCTTTTTCTTGCACTCTCGTTGATAGCTTCCCTCCACTTCTCCCTCCACTTTCTGGGCCTGCCGAGCAAATCTGACCCAGGATGAGAAGCATTGTCTGTGTTGGGATGAGCTGCTTCCTCACGGGCTATTAAAGTCACCATGGAGGTCAGCAGGGTGTGCTGTAAAGTGGGATCCTCCAGTGTTCCCTCCACTATGGACTGGATTGCATTTGTGATGGAGTTATAAAGCAAATCCACATCCTTGGATTTCCGTACAAACTCCTGGGGGTTATCACTGTATTTCTCAGAATCCCGTTCTGAGATAGTCTCATCTTCCATTAACTTGATACTTGCAAATGCTTCCAAAAGTTGTCTTTTCTGAATAAGTTCATGGATTTCCATTACTGCAGAAACAGGTGAGAAGAGGTTGGGACAAAGTGGGCATTAGGCCATTGACAGGCTGGTAACAGGACAAGGTCTGACAGGGAGACTTGCAGGGGGCTGTTCAGAGTAGTCAAGTCCCAGCAGTGCCTCTGAGACTGCCCCTGGCCTCCCTGATCTCTCCAGCTCCTGTTTGACACAGGAGAGGAAAACAGTGGGAAAGCAATAACTGCAAATCGAGCCACATCCCTGAACAGCTGCTTACAGAGACAGGAAATATCAAAAAACCTGCTGATAACCCTGCAGGGACGCCTCAAACAATGGCTGGTGAGGCTGCGCAGAGGGACACTGGAGGTTCAGGCTGCATAAAACTGGCTCTGCCCCTCTGCTGGTGTGGAGATGAGGTGGAACAGGCAGCAGGAATGGTTCAGGATATACCTTACCAGCAGGATTTCCCTTAGCATGGATGTCCTTGTTTCCCTGCATACCCTGTGCTCAGCACAGCTCTGCTGCTGTTGTTGGCCATGGTGGTGTAGCCCAGCTCAGGCACCTCTGGATGAAAGGGCATCTGAAAAGCTGCCCAAGAGGACAGGATAGTGCCCAGGGCCCTGGCTGGGGTAGTGGGAGGGAGCACAGCAGGACAGACACCTTTGGGTGTCCTGAGCTCTTGGGTCAGATCTCTCTCTCGATGGTTATGTCTGTCCCAGCCCACCCACAAGCATGTCCTCAGAGATACCAGGGCCCTGAGAGAGCCTCCTGTATGTGAGCCCACAGTCAGGTGCTTCTTGGACATACACATACAAAATTATATGAAAAAATTGGAGAGCACTCAAAGAAGGACTAATTCATAGCACATAATTTCTGCCCTTCGGCTTGTCTGCACACAGGTTTCATACCATATGTACCAAGTAATCTTTGTAGCATAAGAATATCTGTATGAAGACATAAATATGCCAAATAACCAAAAAATTGATGCATCACAGAGCACATAGATCTTTGAGTGCCTATATGGTGCTATAGTTGCTTCTGCACTCAGAAGGGTGGGAAATTCTACCAATTAACTTAGTCTGTTCTAGATAAATTAATATAAAACCTGTGTTTACACAAATGCTTGCAGTGAGAGACTAGAGGAATACATTCTGTTCTGTTTATCAAAGTGAGAAAACACCATTTAATCACCATCTATGATAATTATTCAGGGAGGTGATGTTGGGTGCTAAATGGATCTTTAATTCAGCAATACAAGATCAGCCAGCTGGTGGTTGAAGGAAGACAATTGAAAGGCAATTAACTATTATGCAGCCTAATGGTGCACATTGTGGAATCTCCATCACTTGCCATATTATCTCAGGATGGGATGTGCTTCCGACAGAGCTGCTCTAGTCCAGGCCAAACACAAGTTATTGGGCAGAGAATGGGCCTTATTTGTGCAATTTCTCAGCTCGTTTATTTCAGGAGATCAGAAAGCTTGTGATAACATTTTCTGCCCCTCCTCATCTCTGACCCTTGGAGGTCAGACTAGTGAAGTTTATGAGATGGGCTCAGATCCAGCTTACCAAGCTCACAATGTATCAATGTAAAGCAGTAAATCACTTCCCATCACAGTAGAGCACCTTACAGCAGTGAGGCAGTGTCAGCCCGTGCATCTGATCCCTGTGGCACCCTATGCAACACACTGATAATTTCTTCCTAGAAATTTAGACTGAGGAAAGGCCAAGTCATATTGTTTTGCCTCAGTCTGTCTCCAGGTGAATGCATTGTAGTACCTCTGCCTTGAGAAGGTGGAGGACAGCAGTGCTCAAACCGTGATCAAAGTTATTGCAGTCTGCTCACAGCTGGGGAAAGGGAATTGTTATAATTTGTCTGAGATCTATCTATGCTGGCAAAACACGTGAGAGTAGCCAGCCTGAGGAAGACCAAAATCAAATACTTGCAGCACTGCTGTTGTGAGGACAGGGGAAAGTCAATGCAAGAGAGCAAAATATCTGTGGAAGTCTCTTTGCAAGGCGATTTCTAAGATTAGGAGCCGAAGTGGAGCTTCCAAACCAGATCGTAGCCAAACCATCTTTTTCCCCTCTAGGCCTTGCAGCACCCTACAGAGCACAGTTGGAGGACCATCAGTCTGAGAGCTGAAGAGCAGAAATTGTCCAGGACAGCAATGCAGGCAATAGCACACTGCACTTGTAGGTATGTCAGACCAGCAGTTCCCCACGTGTGCTCAGCAGCTTGGTGACTGATATATGTGATGGGCAATGTCACACTGACAGGTTGATGGGTAGGCTGCTGATATGGCTAGAGCAGCATGTTCAGTGGCAGAGCCTTGCCCAGGCTGGGCCAGGTAACACCCAACAAATGCAAGGGGTGCAGTTGCCTCTCCCTTGTGAAGGGATGCCTGGTTCTTTAGCATCTCTGTTGAGCCCAAGCCTTGCACACTGTAAATTAATTTTACATTTATCCTGCCAAGAAAATGGCAATGGTGGTTTTGTGTCTTACCTGAAAGAGGTTTTGCTTCAATGGGCTCACATATTTCAACAATCTTCTCCACGCTATTACTGATTGTGGGTTTGTTCTCCTCATGGCTCATGAGTGTTTGCAGAAGTCTTTTCGCATTCCAAGTGCCAGTATCTTCCTTCCTTCTTTCTTTTTTCAGACTTCGTTTTGATTTCCGGATGCTTAACACTGTTTTAATACCTCTTTCAAAGAACCCATTGTCCCTCCTCTGTGAATCTGGGCTGCTCAGTTCAGAAGAGACTTCCATCTTTTCCTTCTCTGGACTGTTCATTGGAGAGGCTGGTTCTGAGGTCACACTCCTTGTGTCTAACTCCATATTTCTATTTATCTTGTCTTTCAAGGGGAGGTTTGCCAAACAGGTTGATGACAATCACTAAAATAACAAAACAGCAGAATTAGAGATGTCCTTAACAGGGTATTACTGTGTCTCCAAAGCCAGTCCTAGACTGAAAATATGGCCCATTCCTTTCGTGTGCCTAAATACAAGGACAGAATAAGATGTAGCCTATAGCTGCTGAAACAATCTCTCTACCCACAGACAGCAGACACTGGCCTGCACCTGGTGCTCTGTAAAGCTTCACTTAACTCCATAAAACAGGCAAGTGGCAACTATTTCTCCAGCACCAAGGAATCATGAGATGTCAGAGATGTTGAAATCTGTGTAAACATACTGTTTCAGTGAGTAACCAGATACGGTTTTGCTTCCCATTCTTCTAGGTGGATTTCCAGCCATGCAGGAATAATAATTTTCCTGAATCTCACTGGGTTATTTCCATTTTCTGATGTGAATATGGCAACTTTGGGTTTTGTTGCTACTTCTGCCCTGCTCAAACGCTGAGCTGCTGCTGCTGCTGGAGGTGGCTCAGGGGTGAGTGGTTCCCAGCAGTGGCTGAGCTCTGCTCTAGCCCCTTCCACCAAAGCCACAGCTATCTCTGCACTCTGAATCGTCATGGTTACAGCTCAGGAGGCAGTACAAGGCAGGAAGGGTTCACATCACTCATCCTGCCTCAGACACTGCATCCCATCATGCTAAGGATAGGTATCTCCAAGGCCAAACTCACCTCTCTGCACAAGCTGCAGGGGATGCTGCAAGCGATTCCAGATTTCGGCAGAAGTGCTCCTGTCAGTGCTGCTGGGCTGCAGTCACAGACTCTGCACTTGCTCAGCTCCTGCCCTGCTGCAAACAAACTTCCCTCTGCCCACCCTGAGGGCTGGCCCCGGTGTTTGGGGAGAGGGAGGAGAGAGGTTTTGCCTTTCCTCCCTTGCAAAGGGTTCCCATCAGACCACCAGCTGATACAGCCAGTTCACTGAGCCACTGTACATTGCCACTGTACATTGCAGTGCCCTGAGGATGGAAAATGCCACGTTTCTCCAGAGCAGGCTTAAGGCAGCTGAATGAACACTTCAAATGAGTAGAAACAGCTATTCTTGTGCCACAGGAACTGCCTGTCTTGAGCCTGTCCAGCCCACAGAAGTCAGAGATTGAAAAATTATTGCAGTCAATAGACATATTGGGACTCTGGAAATAGATCTCATCCTTCCTCAGTCATAGTTTTGATCCCTTGTGCATGGTTATTTTACAGGCTGTGAACTACAGGGATGGCATCTTCCCATGGGTTTGCTGAGCTGCTCGCCCAGTGGGGCTCAGACTCTGCCTCACACTCTCATGGGAGGATGTGTTTAACCATTCACTGCCTTGCTCAGGAGCTCACCCATCACAGCCCATACAGAGGGTGGGAGGGAGAGGAGAGCACCCCACTGCCCAGGGATTTCAGTGAAAAGAGGCTGAGATCTCAGCTCAGACTCTGCATGGGGGTTCTGCAGACAGAGTGCAGCAGCAGCAGCAATGGTCAAAGGGGTGACCTACATGGAGAGAGCAAGGGGAAAAGGAATAAAAGGTGTGAGCCCATGAGAAAGGAAAGGAATACATACCCCAGTACTGAGTGAAGTGATCCCCTCTTCAGCAAGCTGGGATAGCACAGGTGTGATCCACGAAACTGAGAGCAGCTGTTTGCTGCAGGAAATCCAGTGTGGATGCAATGGCAGGTGAGGAGCTCTGCAGGACAGAGGTCTGGGCCAGCTCACCCACCTCAGCTGACTGGGGCACCATCCCTTGCACACGTGCTGGCCGAGAGGCTCCCTCTGGGAATGGTGCTGCTCTCCATCCTCCTTTACTCTCTGAAAAGGGCTGTTAAAAGAGGGAAAAAAGGCCTGTCCGCACCTGCCCAAGGGCTCCAGCACCTTCACCTGTTTGATCTCTGGAAAAGACTCGGCACTGTTTCACTTTCACTATGTCTGAGCATTTAAAAGAAGAGGTGGGGAAAAAAATCGCAGTTAATTATTACCCTGCAAGTGGAGATGGGGCCTCAAACCAGAGGTTCTACGATGGGGTGAGCTGCTGCCTTGAGATAGCCTGGGGGGATAGCAATGAGGGGAAGGAGGATTTCAGGAGGAGGTTCTGTCCTGATGGGCTGAAGCCCATCTGGGTAGGGGGGTTCAAAAGCAGCCCCAGAGCTGCTGTGTGGATGGCTGCATTTCAGCCCCTTCTGCCCTGTCTCTGCAGGTCACGGGTGGCTTGGTCCCAGTAATGATTGCCAGACGTGGGTGAGGGACAGGAAGTAATGTGTCCCCTGGTTAAATATTTATATATTCACATCCTCACTTTGCCCTGTGGGCACTTATTTCCATAGGGTTTCTAGCCCTGGATCCCTCTGTTCTCAGAGCATTTGGGAACCTTGGAGAGAACTCAAAGCAAAAGAGCACGAAAAAAGGGGCCTTGAAGGTTTAAATAACATTAAACACGGTCACTTGGTTTGTCATTGAGTTGTGTAAAATTATTTAACCCTGGGGATCCTTTAGTGCCCAGACAGAGGCAACTCAGGCTGCCAGGTGTCCATGGTCCTGGTGTAAAGTAAGAGGGGTAAATTGGAAGTACCACCATGCCATGGGCAATGTGCACTTCTTTGCTTTAGGAGCTGCCAGCATGTCACCTGTCTGTGTGATAAGGGACATCAGAGGGGTTAGTGACGGATAGATGCAATGAATGACATTTGGACTTTGTGTTGTGCAGAGGAGAACACGGGGAGAGAACAGAAGATAACAACCTCCTCTACCCCTGTTAGAGACTGTGTGTCCAGGAGATGGAAAGTGTGGGATGGGAATAATTATGATCATATTAAACAGAGAAGCATGGCAGCATGGACTTGGTGTGAAATTGGCCTGATGGAGAGATGGGACTGGGCAGAACATCATTTGTGGCTGCCCCATGGTTCAGGGGGAGTCCTTCCTGAAGCCTCCCTCAGCCAGGCAGTGCAGTGCTGAGATTTGTGTCCTTGAGCTCTTCAAAGTTGTGTAAGCCAGAGACTGCACTGCTGTACTGGGGAAAACCATTACTGATAATGCTTCTGCCACCTGGCAGGTTGACAATGTGAATGAGGAATGAGCTGTTTATTCAGGCACAGGTTGAGGGGTGGAAAGCCCCTTTGGACACAAAGCCCAATTTTTTTTAAGCCTCTTTCCATCCAGGTTTTAATTGCCTCATCCACAAAATATTTACATGGTGTGGGTTTGTACAGACAGGCTCACTGTGACTAGGGTGCTGCCAGGCAGCAGATCCAGCATGGACGGGGTCTGATCTGGGCCTCTCTGGGGGCTGTCAAGTACTCTAAAACCCAGCTAGCACCAGGGCCTGCTGGGATATTGATAAACACAATCCTGAGGGAGCTCTGAATCCCACCTCTCTCCCTACAACCTTTTCTGGTGCTCTGTCCTAGCAGCAGCTCTCAAGGAACTGTCCTGTTCCAGGAAATGCCATCAAGGAAATGTTGTTTCTAGGTATCTGTCCACAGAAGATCATGGGAATTTAAAAATGTACTAGGTTTTGCAGTTGTTTACCATTTTTCTTCAATTATGACTTTTGGAAAGTGTTTCATCAAGTCGTAGGTGCATTAAAATCTGCAGGGGTGTTACTGTCTAACAGCTCCCTAATGCCCTGCACCCACTAACCTCTGTGAGCCTTTCAACTGCTGCTTTGCCTCCTGACCCTCTGGAATATTTGGTTTAGGGTTTATTTGATCCCTCATCTCTTCTCTGTGTCTTTTGCTCATATTTGTTGTCTTCTTTCTCATTTCTTTTCCTGCAATAACACCCCTGGAGCAGTGTAAGACTCCAGAGGTGCAGTGCTCCTTGGCAGAGGTGAGGGGCAGGGAGAGTGGTTTGGGGGGGGTCCTGAAATTCCCAACACCAAGGTTTTCACCAGCTCCAAAGGCCAGGAGAAAAACGCACTGCTGAGGCTCCAGGGGAATACTGCTATGATGCATATCCAGAAAGCTGCACCAGATGCCCCCTTACAGCCTTGGCAACCCAACTGGCACAGCCCTGGTGGGGTGTGCTGTGACCCACGCCCTTTCTGCAGGTTTCATTTTAAATCTCAGCCTGTGTGGGTGGAGGAGACCCCAGAGCTGCAGTGATTTATTGCAGCAGAGAGGCTTGATATTTCTAACAGCATTGACGATGATGGATGAGGCAAAGACATGCTCAGAGGCTGCACATGCCTATGCAGCCATTTCCTCCTGAGGGGTGGCTTTCAGGGAAATGAGAGATATTGTTTCACCTGAAATATTTTTTTTTTCTGCTTTTAGGTTGAGGGAGGTTTGAGCCTTAAGCTGCATAGTCTATTTGCAGAAAAGAAGCAGGTTGTGATTTGGAGGCTGGCTTATACAGAAGGGATGCTTGCCCCTAGGTTTGAGTGGAAGAATTTGGAAGGTGCATTTCTGCAAAACACAAGAGTGTCACCACATCTGGGAGAGGATGTGCTCCAGACCTAAGGATGGTGTCCTACACTGTTCCTGTGTAGCCATGGGAGGAGACCACTTGAACTAGTATATATCAGACCAGGGAACAAAATCACAAGTGCTCATTTTGTTGCAGAAAGGTGGCCCAGGAGGATTTTCCACGAGAGCTGCCACAGCTGTGAAAGTCCATCCTAAGTGCTTTTGAAGGATAAATATCAAAGTTTTCCTTACTCTCCTCTCCAAAAAGGTCTGGAATAGGCCTGTTTGAGCAGGATCTCTCACACTGGTTTTCTTCTTTTGCAATGAAATTGTTTTAACACTTTCAGCAACCCACCGGTCGCCGTATGCTGTGCCAGCTGTGCTGAAGCATGCCAGGACTCATGTAAGCCTAACAGGGATGGCAGGGCTGGGAGACAGGCTTCCCCACTCTCCTGATTCTTGCTGCAACAGCCCCACAAGTACATTTTGCCAGCAGGCACAGACCAGCCCCCACTGACCCCAGAGCTGTGTGGTGCAGCCAGGGCTGGGGCAGTGCCTCTGTGCTCCCCCAGCCTGGCAGCAGCTCTGCTCCTGGGGATGCTCAGCTGGTGCAACAGGGATGCACTGTGGTGGTACCTGCTGAAAATTTCCTTCTGCTTGTTTGTGATTGCTGTGAGCTCATGAGTAGATGGAAGGTAATTGCAAAAAACCGGCTGTGCAGGTTGTGTGCTCCATAGCCCATTAGTTTGCAGTGAGCATCGGCAAGGCCAGGGTGGAGTCCATCACCCCAGCCTCGAGATTGAAATGTCACAGCTCCTTGGCTTCAGGAGGAAGCTGCTGTGTCCTACGGAACAGGGTGCCCTCATCCCTCTCACAGGAGCTGCCAAACCAGAATTCAAAGCGCAGAAGTTCTTTTTGCATGACACTGACAGTGGGTTATCTATGTGATTGTGCTTCTGCTCTTAATTCACCCTATGCTTTGCCAAAACACCAGCCTGCTGCCACAGCTTTTCACTGTGGTGCGACTCCACTGGCTTCGGTGGGATGGAGTCTGATGTCCAAAAGAGCAGGGAGTAACCAGCCCCATCTCCTGTAGATGGGGCATCAAACTTAACAGTGAGAGTTTCCCCTTGGAGCTGGCTAGGGCTGATTGTTCCCGGTGGATAGCAGCCTTTTGAGCAGGAATAAAGCCCTGCTGAGCAATTCAAGAAAGGGTAGACTACTTTGTCTTTTAAATCAGGTGACTAAGAGCAGACCACTTGTGGAGCCAAGGCACCTGCCTGCACCACGCTAGGTGTCTGCTGTTGAAAATGTGTCATTGAGGCCAAGGACTGAGCTGGGAGCTCAGCACTGCCTCTGCTGCAGATGATGGGGAGGTTGCAGAGAGCAGGAGCTTGTGCTTCTCCTTAGCAAGGTTTTGCTTTACTGCACCAAAATTTCCACTCTACAGTGCTCGAAAACTTTACCAAAGCCAGGTTAACATTTGTTTGCCACATTGCTTCAGGACATTCTAAAGCATAAGGACCTTGAGAAAACTCAATGGAGCCTTGGGAGAAACCTCTTTGGTCTTTTCTTGGCTGAACTTTCTCCGGGTTAATCCCAGGCTTGGTTTGATAGAGGGAGGAAAGGTGCAGGCTGATTCTTGTCTATGTAACACTTTGAGTCCCTGGCCCTGCTGCAGGGCTCTTGTATCACACCTTTTCATTGCCCACACCAGTGTGAGCTTTGGTGCCCGTAGCAATGCTAAGGGAAGTGGGAAGCAACTTTTACTGAACATCTCCCTGGATGAAGCCTGAACTCTGGAAATCTGAATTTTCTTTACCTTCGGTGGATGGGAAACACTGAAAACTAGTGCTTTATTTAAATATATACTTCTGTACCATTTTTTTTTAAATGAGTGTTTTTGAAGTTTCATTGAAGATGTTGTCACTGTAATCATTATATTTCTGTAGAGATTATAATGACTCCTTTTGAAGAGTTAGTCTCAGTCAGTCAGTGCTTAATTCACATATCAATGACTCCATAAATCCTAAACTCATAAATTTGCTGAAACTGCTCAAATCTATTGTGCTAATGAACGCTTGCAGGAGCTCATCATTGCAGAGATAATTCACTTAAGGAGCTGCCCCTGTGAGGATGGGTGGTCAATGATGGCAGAGAGGCCTCATCTCTGTGAGGCAGCTGAAGGTTTTATAACCGAGCCGCACTCACCATGAGCATCAGAGCCCCGCCACTCTTTTTGGTTGATATGCTCCAGACTATTTCATGTGCAGTCCTCCAGTATGACCCTCAGAATATTTCCCATCATGTGGAGAGAGCTGGGCATCATTTCTGCGTGATGGTGGGGTGGGTGGAACCAACTGGTGCAGAAATTATGATGTCATTTTGTTCAGAATGAACTGGTTAAGCCCTAGCTGGTTATTAAGCCAACAAAGGCAGTAGCTCCTAACCAGTTATTAGAGTGTTTGCAAACCCTTGCTCCTGCTGCTGAAAAACACTGGGCACCTCTTCTGGCTGACTGGAACCTGTCTAATGACGCTATTGCAAACCAGTCCTAGGAGCTTGTCCTTTATTTTAATAAATGCATAATCCCTATGGAAAACTGGAGACCAGTAGAAAACAGTGCCAGAATCTCCTGGAGCAGCAGGAGTGTGGGCAGCTGCCAAGGAGATAGGTGGGAAACTGCAT